GAGGGAGGGAGGGAGGAAGGAAGGAAGGAAGGAAGGAAGGAAGGAAGGAAGGAAGGAAGGAAGGAAGGAAGCGGGAATTTAACTACTGATATTCTTGCTGTATAAGATTATTATGGTTTAGCTTTAGCAAATGAAAACAAATTTTTTAGGAATATTTCTAACTAACTTATTCTTATTTATATTTAGCTTCATCAAATAGAATTATTGAAAGAATATTTTCTGGAGCAGTGACAAGGTATGAAAAATTTAAATTCTGAATTTTATTTTGTGGGCTAGCAAAAAAATTAATAGAAAAATGAAATAAAACATCTTGAGTTTCAAAATGAACTATACTATTATAATAATCTCATTTTAGCAAAGCTTTTTGCATAATTTGGCATGCCTTAAATCTCAGCAATCAGGAGGTAGAGGCAGGCAAATCTCTGTGAGTTCATGCCAACCTGGTCTTCAGAGAGTTCCAGGACAGCCAGAGCTACCCTATCTCAAAAAAAAAAAAAATAATCCAGAGTCTAAATATGAGTAACAATATCTTATGCCATTAGTTATCAAATGGGACACCAGGGCCAGACCTAGTGCATGGCTTGTAATCCCCAGACACGTAGTAGTAGGCTGAGGCAGAAGGTTCACACACTGAAGCTGTCTTGGGTCACAGAGTCAATTCAGAGCCTGCCTAGGCAACTTAATACTTTGTTTCAAAAAACTAAAAGTAAGCCGGGCATGGCACTACAAGCCTTTAATCTCAGCACTTGGGATTATAAGCATGAGGCAGGTGGATCTGTGAGTTCAAGGTCAGCCTGGTCTGTATATTGAGTTCCAGCTATCAAAGGCTACATATTGAAACCCTGTCTAACAAAAATTATGTAAATACTAAATTAAAAGTAAAGGAAGGATAAGAATGTAACTTGGTGGTAGAGTGCTGCCTGTGTTGTTAGGCTTTCCATAAAAGCAACAGGATTTCTTTTTTCTTAATTTAGGCAAATGTCTTCCAGTTTCACTTGTAGGCTCTTAAAAATGAGATAGGCCTCAAAGGGGTTGCACTTCTGAACTATCCAGCTTTATGAGGAATCTATCATTTTCTTTCTTTTTTTTTTAATTAAATAAATTTCTAAAGAGTGGTGTTACTTCATTTCTTCATTGCTCAGGAAATTTTATAACCATGTGTTTTCTTCAGAGGAAAAACTGTACAAAAAGAGGGAAGAATGAGCTATGCAGATTTTGTTTGGTTTTTGATTTCTGAGGAAGACAAACGGAACCCTACCAGGTAAATTTTTGTTGTCAAGATGTAAACATATGCACAAAGCTTGGAAAGAATGTGGTATATACTTGTAAACTGACCCAGTCTAGCCACAGGAGGATGTGTCCTACTATCTCTCTCCTGGAGGAGCTCAGTCTAGGGAAGGAGAGGCACAGAATCCATGGTCATGGGGGAGAGGGAAAGGCTGGTGCACACCTGAAGGTGAAGTGAGGCACGCTCCTCCCAGCAGGGAGAGATAGAATTGGTATTTATATTAAGTGTGGAATAGACCCCTGCACATTTTAGTTCTTTTATAATCTGTACTAGTTCTGTAGTAAATTAAAGAAGGAAGGAAAAGCAAATTGTGGGACTAGAAAGATGGCTCAGTGGAGAAAGCCATTCCATGCAAGCCTGAGGACCAGAATTCAGATCTCCAGCACTTACATGAAAGCCAAGGTCTGAGGACCCCACCTGTAATTCTAATGTCCAGGAGACACAGACAGAGAGTGTGCTTAGGGCAATAGTCTGGCTAGATAGACTAGTTCAATCAGTGAGACTTGTTAACGAGACTCTCCCTCAAATAAATAAAGTGGAGAGTGCCTGGGAAAGACACCTAACATGAACCTCTGACCTCTGCATGCTTATACAAATGTGCACTTTCACTTACATATATACATGTAAACATGCCAAAGAAGCAGCAGCAGACTGACTAGTATGTAAGATCATAACCTCATGCTCCCAGTTGGAATTATCATTCCCATTCCTTAGCACTCTCAAATATGCGTTATTTTGTAATGTGAATTTACGTATTTCTTTCCACTACTGTCTCCTGGTTGGGCCAAAGATCTAGGTCCCTCTCAAAAGGACCTCGAGGTTGCCTGTAAAATAATGTCCTGTACATAGTGAGGCATTCCTTAATGTAGATTGGGGTTCAAAATTATTGAAAAGGGTAGAGAGATGGCTCAGCAGTTAAGAGCACTGCCTGTTCTTCCAGATGATTGGGATTAGATTCCCAGCACCCACAAGGAAGCTCACAACTCTCGGTAACTTCTAGCCTATAGAGCAGTGGTTCTCAACCTGTGGGTTACAGCTCCTTTGGGGGTCACATGTCAGATATCCTGCATATGAGATATTTACATTACAATTCATAATAGTAGCAAAATTATAGTTATGAAGTATCAACACAATAATTTTATGGTTGGGGGTCACCACAGTATGAGGAACTGTATTAAAGGGTCACAGCATTAGGAAGGGTGAGAACCACTGTTCTAGAGGAACTAGGCACACATGTGGTACATAGACATACATGCAGGCGAAATATACAAACACAAAGTTAATAAAATTTTAAGTTATTGAAGTGGTTAGTATTACGTTCATCAATAATTGAAACAGAAAAATAAGCCATTTTTAGCTGCATTTTAAAATAACTGCCATTCTAAATACAGTGATTTGTAATCTATCTTAGATAACTTAGAGAACATGAATGAAGAAAGTAAATATTTATGATGTGTACATGTGGGTACAAAGAATGTGCTGGTGCAAGTATGTGAACATGAGGCCAGAGGCCAGCCTCTAATGGTAGGCCTCAGGAGCCAGCTACTTGTGGTTCAGATAGGGGCTGTCACATTGAACCTGGGTTTGTCAGTTAAGCCAGCCTGGCTGACCTGAAAGCTCCAGAGACCATTGTCTCCATCTCCCTAGCACTAGGACTGCAGCATGTGGCACCACACCTGGTTGTGTTCATGGGTTATAGAGAGCCAAGGTAAGTCCTCAGGCCTGCATTTTATAGACTGAACTATCTCCCCAGTCTCACACGCAGGAAGAACACTATTGGGGGAAAAAAATTTTATATATATATATATAAATATATAAATTAATCCCCTTTGTGTGTGTGAGAGAGAGAGACAGAGAGGGGTGGGGGGGAATATCTTTCTGTTACCCAGGAGGATGATCTAGGAGGAAGCCTTGGCTCAAGGCACTCCCTACCTCACTCCCCTACAAGATGTGTCACACACAGTACTGTGCCCAACATTGGATTAAACCTTGTGATACTCTAAATTTTCTACTAAATGTTCTCCTAAATTGCTTCTAGTAGTTATAGTTGAATAGTTTGGATATCTACTAATTTTTTTAAAGGATATACATTTAAAATTCTATGTTAAAGGGGGTTGAGGGTTTTTGTTTTGTTTTGTTTTTGTTTTTAATGGCATTAGGTAAACCAGGCATATCCTACCATCAATAATGAATCTACCAGCCATGAAGCTTAACAAGGAAATAGAGGCTGTAGATGATACCAGAAGCACTACCCAAAACTATAGCCTTCTAGATCTCACAGACAGCTATACAATGCTTCATTCAAAAGCATTTGAAAGGAGGAGTATAATACAGACATTTCATTTTTAAACTGAAATTAGGGACAGGGAATGTAGCTCAGGTTATAGAATACTTGCCTAGCACAGATAAAGCTCTAGGGTCTATCCCTAGCACTACACAGAACAGGAATAATACATTCTTATATATTATATATTATGCATTCAGGAGGTTAGGTAGGAGTATCAAAAGTTTAAGGTCATCCTTTCTCCATACCAAGTTCAAGGACAAACTGGACTATATAAAATTACATATATAGTATAATATATAATATGTATTTTTTAAAAGGCACAGGGGGAGGGTCTGGATAGTATGGTAGCTTGGAAATCATATCTAAGGGGAGGGAGGAGCACACACTTTTAATCCCAGCATTTGGGAGGCAAAAGCAATAGGATCTCTTAAGTTTGAGGCCAGCCTGGTCTATATAGCAAGCTCCAGGATAGCCTGGAATATAGAGAGACCCTGTATCAAAAAATGAAAAAGCAGTATCTAAGGGAGGAAATCAAAAGGAATAAGAATGTTGTATCACACAACAAACTACTTCTACCTCTCCCTAACTCACTTGTCAGTGCATGAGTGAACTCCCATAACCAGTCTTGCACCCCACTGCCACAGCAGAGGACAGCAAGCATAGCCATGCAGTCCAGCCTTAAGGGCAACTTAAGGCTATCTACTACAGAATCTGTATCATAATGGAGAAACACCACGTCATATATAAAGGCAGGCCCATCAGTACCAGTCGCCAACCTGGCCTGGAATGGTTTGAAGCAGGACACAGCATTGGACGTAGCTTTGAAGACTGATGGTCTCTGGCCTTCTAGCTCTCTAACTGTACTGAATGCTTTGTGATAGCTTCTAAAAAGTCCTAAAAACTTTCTTGCTTATTCTATAGTTAAAAGCCACTGGCTTGGGCGGTTAACACCTGTTGCTTAGCAATGGAGAATTAGGTAAAGAATTTACTGCTATCACTCCCTTCTCTGTCCAGGCAGTCAGAAGCCTCTCTGGCTAGACTGGTTAACTCTTTATGAACCAGAGAGGAGGAAAGGGAAAAGAAGATGTTTTATACAGGCAGATATGCACAGACACATATACATTCATACACACATTTACACATCAACACATTCATATTTTGGTTGGGCCCAACTACCAGGGTGGTTGAACGTTATACACTCCACAAGTATTCATGCATGCTTACATACATGCACATATGCCTACACACAAGTCCACAGACAAACAGACATACACATTCGGATGGATGGATGGATGGATGGATGGATGGATGGATGGATGGATGGATGGAGCAGAGTTCCCCAAGCCAAACCATTCAACCAACAACTTTATTTCTTTTCTCTGACCTTTTTATACATTCTTAAACAAAAAAGTTCTTTAGAAAATTACCTCAGAGATAAAATGTTACATAAAATAGGAGTTACAGAAGGATGTTGATGTTAAGTTCAAAGCAGTGTTTCATTCTAATATGTTCAATAAAAGTTCAAATCAACAGTTTTTATATGGCCTTGCCTTATCATAGTGTACACCTGTGGCTATATCCTTGGACCTAAGTGTTTTTCCTTGAACAAAAATTTATTCCAAGTCTATTACTCTTTTTAGTTTAATTATGAAAGTTCATTGTATTTCTTATTAGGCAGCTTTTACTTACTATTATGAAGAGTGGACACATTCTATTCTTGATTCTAACTTTATTGCATCTTTCTAGAAAAACAACTAAGACCATCTCTTAAAACTTTCTTCCTGCTGGGCAGTGATGGCACATGCCTTTAATCCCAGCACTTGGGAGGCAGAAGCAGCCAGATTTCTGAGTTTGAGGCTAGCCTGGTCTACAGAATGAGCTCCAGGACAGCCAGAGATACACAGAGAAACCATGTCTCGAAAAACCAAACAAAAAAAACTTTCTTCCTAAAATCACTGAATCAAATCAGGAATTCTATAGAATCATTAATTCATTTAAATAGCATTAATTCATGAAAGCTCATCTTTATGTTGATCTGTAAGAAATCTGATCAATAGGGTGGGCTAATGCCCAGGGATTATTATATTAATTTAATAACGAGAGGAAAGACAGTCAACTGCAAGAAGCAGTCCTAAGACGAAGTCTCTTTGGAACCTTGCCATCAAGCTCACCCACAGCAGACCATGCAAAAACAGTGGGCCACCTCCAGAAGGCCACCTGCCAGCCTTAGCCTATCCTAGATGGCTCCTGACACATCAGAATATCAAATGATTTCCCAATAAACAAGGAAGTTCTGAATGACATATTTCAAGTTCTGAAAGGCCACAGCTGCCAACCCAGACTACTGTTCTCAGCAAAACTATCTGTCATGATTGATGGCAAATGACCTTCCATGATAAAAGTAGGCTAAAGGAAGAACTAACTACAAAGGACAATAGGAGGAATTCTTCAGATTTAGGAGACTTAGTTTCAGTGGTAACTATGAATATTAATAGTTTCAATTTCTCAATCAGAAGACACAGACTAACAAATTGAATCTAACATGGGATCCATCTATTTACTGCCTCCAAGAAACACACTTCACTATCAAAAAATAAACACTGTCTTAGGGTTAACAGTTGGAAAAAGGTATTCCAAGCAAAGGAAACTAGGAAACAAGCAGATATACCTATTCTAATGTCTGACA